TGCAAAGTTGCGTGCATATCTGGAAAAGTGACATGAAAAGCCATACAAACACTGTCTATGTAATTACGTGGATAGTGGATACAAGCAACATTTATTTTCTTACGTGGATAGCCTGTAAAGTTGCGAGCAAAGTATATCAATTCATGTGGGTAGCCTGTAAAGTTGACCAAGGTATGCAAATAGTCTGCAAAATCGATAAAATTACATGGATAGTATTAAAAATTGCGAGCAAACTTGATAAGGTGACATGGGTTGTTTGTAAAATTGCGTGCAAAGTTTGATGAAGTTAGGTGGTTAGTCAGCAAAGTTAATAATATTACGTGGACAGTCTGCAAAGTTCCGGAAACGTATATCATGAATTAGTTTTCGCGTATCTGTTGACCGACTTATTTAGCGAGTTACTAGTGTATAGCTGTGTTATATCTGTCATCATTTAGACTTATGCGAGGTCCTGGACGGAACTTGACTCAGTGATTTGGAACTAATTACGATATAACCGTTGCCATCCGGACCGCTATTTCTGACAGTTGGGTCTTCGCAGTTAGTAATATAGTGAATGATTAATCAAAAGATATGACGTGTCCAGTACTTAGTTTGATTGGCTATGTGCAAGTTGAATGTGTGATGTGGTTAAGAACTAGCTATTGTAACGTATTTCGTTGTGTGCGTCGATTTGACTTTAAAGTTTAAGTAACTTTCCCGGTCTGGTACCTCAAGCAGACGAGATATAGAGACAGACGAGAATTTTCCCCCTGTCACGTGTTGGAGAACCCCCGAGCCCGGAGAAGAATTTCCCCCGTGATACGTATATCAATTTACGTGGATAGTCTGCAAAGTTAATAAAATTGCAAAGTTACTTGAACAAAATTAAAACAGATATGTAGATAGACCGCAAAAAAGTGTGCAAATTTGTGCAAGTAAGATGGATATTTTGCAAAGTTGTTAAAGTTAGATGGATAGTCAGTAAAGTTAATAAAATTATGTGGAGAGTCCGCAAATTTGACGTACTTGAGATAAAAAATGGCAAATTTGACAGAGTTACATGGCTAGCCTGCAAAGTAGATAATGTTACAGGCATAGTCTCAAAGTTGATAATTTAGGTGGTTAGTTGGAAAAGTTAATAAAATCACATGGATATTTTGCAAAGTTGATGAAGTTACGTTGATAATATTAAAAGTTGATAATGTCACGTGAATAGTCTGCAATGTTGATACAGATATGTGGATAGTCAGCACAGTTAATGATATTACGTGAAGAATCTGCAAAATTAATAAAGTTATGTGTGTGCAATGTTGTTAAACTTCTGAAGAAAAATGATCAAGTTCGGGATTTGGCCCACAAAGTTGCGAGGAAAGTTGAAATTAGGTGGATAGTATGCAAAGTTGATTAAGTTAGGAAGTTGTTCAGCAAATTTAATAAAATTACGTTGAGAGTCTGCGAAGATGATAAAGTTATGTGGATAGTATGCAAAGTTGATGAAGTTACGTGAAAAGCCTGCTAAGTTGCGATCAATATGATTTGGAGAAGTCAATAAATCAATCAACATGATGTAATTACTGTGCGATGTCTCTAAAAGACTAGAATACCCACAATGCCGTGCGAGACATGTGTAAGATTCAGGTTGTAACAACGGACTGGATTATTTGTATATACGAAACATCAGGTGCATTTTCGTGTTCTGATAGTCACTAAATCGGCATTATGTTACTTCAAATTGTCTAAGCATGTCCAAGTTATCACATTTTAAACAAACAAGATGGCCGCCAGTCAGGCATATTTTATCAAATTGCAAATTGAATTGACAAGTACATGTATCAATTTATGACATGCTAAATATCAATGAAATTGATACATGGGTGACAGATATACAGTAATATGGCCAAAAATAAAAACAGCCGTTATTTGGCCATCTTTGATCTGATTATGAAACAAACTGACATGTATGATGAAGACTGTACAATGTCACTAAAAGCGTGGAAATCTCGCACATTGCCCGTGCGAGACATATGTAAATTTCAGGTGGAAACAACTAAATGAATTATTTGTATAGATATGGTCTCTCCACGAAAAAACAAGTGCAATTTCACGTTCTCATTATCACTGTATCGGCATTAGTCAATTCAAATTCCATATTTCCTGAAAGTTCAACGTTGGCATAATTTATTAACATATTCGAATTGGTGGTTCAGTGGTAGAATTTTCGCCTGCCACGCGAGAAATCAACATCATGCAAGGCCGGTACAATATCACTAAAAGCATGGAATAGAAGGAACTAATTATTAGTTACCCATTCTAAACCTTGTGGTAATTGGAGAATTCAATACACTTGTACAAACATATAACCAGTCAAATTTGGGGGCATCTATATAGATGTAACTCTTTGTGAAGAAATTGTCACACAAAATACTGTTCTCTATACTCAAAGTATAGATCTGATAAATAGACACAATAGACAAAGTGTATATTTTCAAAGTATGTTTTATGTATCAATAGAATGTCATAACAATAGGCAAGAATATGTTTGTTCTCAGAAAGTAAGACATCATTGGTGGCAGAGTGTAGACCACCTATTCCATTGAAATGCAAGTCTGTTGGCACAGATACAGCTATGTTACACCCTGTATTGGTTAGATAAATTGTCTAACATAAAGTACAAAAAAAATATTCAGCCAATGTGCTACTGATCTAATAACTTAATTAATCCACCCAGAAAAATTAAAAAAAATTCGAAGACATATGAGAACAAAAGATGATCAATGCGAGCAGAGAACAATGGATTTAATTTTTTGAGTGGATGACGAATGTGAGCAGAGAACAATGGATATCATCCTATGAGTAGCAAATGTGAACACACAACAGTGGATTTAATCCTGTGAGAGGATGATGATTGTGAGCAGAGAACAATGGATTTCTTTCTGTGAATGCACAATAAATGTGGGCAGATAAATCAATTTTTTTGAGTGGATGATGATTGGAAAAATAAATGAAAAGTGATTGGATATGGATGATCACTCATATATACAACATATATAAAAAATGGTTTGTAACTTTTGTATCAAAATACATAATATCTAACCCAAACTCGTGAGCAAAGTTGATCTAAGTTGATCAAAAGCATCAACTGAGCTGTGAGTACATAATGGTGCTCAAATGTTTATGGAAAAACCAGGAGACCATCTATAAATGATACATTTAAAAAAAAATTCAAAAATAAATAGTCATATATTAGGAAGAAAAAAGCACATGTTTTTTTTTTTAATTTACAATGCATTTATAATGTAAATAAGAGTTTTTGGTTATTTAAAAAAAGAAAAGAAGTTATATACAGTGAAGAAAGATCCAAGAGAAAGCTCTGTACATTGTACACACTATGTGACACATACATACACATCAACACATTTACACACAGCAAACCATAACACCATTTCCAGACTGAGCAGAGAAAATGAAGGTGATACACCAAAATTATATTAGTGCCTGTCATGTTATGTGACTATATATATATATATATATATATATATATAGCACAAAACCATCAATTGATGGCACTGTTTGCATGTGATTGTTTGTTGAGTCAAACCATTTTTCATTCTTACAAATCAATATCTGGAGCCATTAAGGATAGACGTAAATAACTAACCAAAATGTGGAGAACTTATAGAAAAAGAGGGGCCACCCGAACTGGTTTCCAAGGAAATAATGGCTTTGTATTTTCCCATAATGCCCTACTCTGGTGGTCATTTGGTTTCCAAGGAAACAATGACTTTGTATTTTCCCATAATGCCCCACTCTGGTGGCCATTTTGAAATTAAAGTGTCAAATAATTCAAAAACTAATTTGGGTACCCATATTTATTTTTTCAGCCAATCTAAGATTGTTGCACTAACATGAATATCACACATACTGGTTCAGTTAAATATTTGCCTAACCTTAACAGGTGACCTTGTGATGTTTTTTTGTTTGATAAATATCCTCCTTGACCATCAAGGGAAACACAAGCAGCCAACGAGCTGAATGCTAAAAATAGCAGTCTTGAGCAAAATTTCAAAATATGGATATTGTAGATATAGACGTGGAAACCTGAAACGAGTCATTTCACACAGTTTTTTAAGAGAAATTATGTTAAAAATTATAAAAATCAAACTATTAGTCAAAATAGATCTGCTATATATTCTACACAATCAGACATATTATAGACCACATCAGATATTAACTTTGTTGGTAAATGTGAAACCAACATCAATTACTTTATTTTCACCACACCAAATGTCCAGGCAATTTGAACTGTAGTTTTGAGACTGATTAAATGTTTTAAGTTATTATTGAATCATGTATTTATGATGTATATTTCCAATTGGATGTATTTTGCCATTCAGTTGTATTGAAAAGTTACCCACAAGGCATATATGGGAAAACATGTGGTGTACGCCTACATAAATCATTTATAATCTGCTTTTTACAAACCAGGCTATGGTGTATGTACTCAAAAGAAAATCTTTGACAGGGACACTTTTATAAGTGCACTTGTGCATTTGATGAGTTATAACCACCAGAACCATGGCAAGAAAACATTTATCCAACCCTGCTAGTATGGAAGTAATGTGAAAGTATCAATCTCCTCCATTTCATACTCTTTTAATAGTCTGTTAAAATACCAGTTTATAAACAAACTTAGTACTGTAGAATACTTTATTTACGCTTGGAATGAATTTTCATTAGAAATAAAATCCAGCAAATATACCGTTGTTTCTGAATTTTACATTCACCTCATCAAAATTCAGTGAAAATAAATTCCATACAAAATACCCAAAAAGTCTATTTAAAGTATTTTAAAATAAAGTATTTTACAGAAAAACATTTAAAACAAATCAATCTGGTACTGTATATGAGCCATGGCTGTACTATTGTGACTGAACAAACACACTGTAGAGTAAAACCAGCTATGTGCAGTTCTATGCAGTGTCCCTTTAAGTCACTGTGCAGTTCTATGCAGCGTCCCTTTAAATCACTGTGCAGTTCTATGCAGTGTCCCTTTAAGTCACTGTGCAGTTCTATGCAGTGTCCCTTTAAATCACTGTGCAGTTCTATGCAGTGTCCCTTTAAGTCACTTTGCAGTTCCACCCAGTGTCCCTTTAAGTCACTGTGCAGTTCTACCTAGTGTCCCTTTAAGTCAGTGTGCAGTTCTACCCAGTGTCCCTTTAAGTCACTGTGCAGTTCTACGCAGTGTCCCTTTAAGTCACTTTGCAGTTCTACCTAGTGTCCCTTTAAGTCAGTGTGCAGTTCTACCCAGTGTCCCTTTAAGTCATTGTGCAGTTCTATGCAGTGTCCCTTTAAGTCACTTTGCAGTTCTACCCAGTGTCCCTTTAAGTCATTGTGCAGTTCTACGCAGTGTCCCTTTAAGTCACTTTGCAGTTCTACCCAGTGACCCTTTAAGTCACTGTGCAGTTCTACATAGTGTCCCTTTAAGTCACTGTGCAGTTCTACCCAGTGTCCCTTTAAGTCATTGTGCAGTTCTATGCAGTGTCCCTTTAAGTCATTGTGCAGTTCTATGCAGTGTCCCTTTAAGTCACTGTTCAGTTTTATGCAGTGTCCGTTCAAGTCACTGTGCAGTTATATCTCAGTAGAACATCTACTGCAGGCTTCACTAAACAAAACAAAACAAAACAAAACAAAACTTGGCAAGATGAAGTTACAATGTGAAAGACATACAAAAATGGTAAAAATACTGTTTCAGAGTAATGTGCAAATGTGGAAACATAACAATACAAGTCACAAGATAGTTGTGGCACCACTACTGACTGTTAGCACCAGAATGTGTGAGGGTCTGTATCTGCACTCTTACATATCACAGAAACAAAACATCGCTAAGATTTTAACTACAAAACATGTCTTTTTCACGGGTATATAAAAATAAGAACCTGTTTTTCCATCTTCTTCTTGGATATATACAAATACTGTTTAGTCAGATCATTGAAAAAATGTACATTTTCTAAATTAATCATCTTTCTATTCTACATGTTGTAGATAATAATGGTGCTGACACTAGTGGAGTACGGGAAATGCAATGTTTGAATACTGATTGCAGAGAAGAGATTCATAACCACAACTGGTTCTTTTCTTCAACTCCATATTGTTCATATCAAAAGGAATGTTATTTTTTTTAATTAAACGTAATGTTTCACAAATTGAGTCAAACTACTTGTTTATTTTTCTTAAAAAAAACAAAACAGTTTTGCATTTGCTACGTAATATCTTGTTCCGACAAGGTGTCTCTACCCTGAAAAAGACAATAGAAAGTGAATTATGATGTTGAAAATGTTAAAAGATATCACATCAAAATATTAAATGAATTTTTATGAAAGATACAAGTAACGTTGTAACAGCCGATAACTAGGTAACAGGGAAATTTACATATTTTTCGGGTATGAATTAAACAAGTGACATGATGGTCAAAAAAGCTTCATTGTTTCAGCTGAGTCTTGAGTGTTCCTCTAATGCACAGAAAGGACTAATCTAATAGAGGTACATGTACACATGTAGCAAGTGTAAAAGAATCAGAGTTTTCAAGAAGTAGTCGAAAATGACAAAAACATTTGGCAAAAATAGAGAATTGAAGATATTGTCAAGAAATGAACAAATCATAAAGAGGCCCACCTAAGGTACCTACATCCCAAGTATCAAAGCAATTGAACAGTAGTTGTTGATGAACAGATGACATAGGACAATAACCTATATGAATAACTTCACTCTGTCATCTTTGATGACAGCAAAACTAAAAACTCAACCTTCACCTACCTTTTCAATTTTTTCATCCAACATTTGAAAAAATTCTGTTTGACTTTGTGAAACTTGCCTGCTGAAGATAAAAAAGAAAAATTATGCAGATAAGACAGAGGGAAGCTGATGTTGAGAAGTGAAGGTTACAAAATATGGTAATCTACAAGGTATTCACTCTGATTAGTAGATTAGGCATATTAGGGTACTTACTGATAGTCAGGTTTTTAAAATTATGGTTCCTAGGTAGTCAGGTTTA